GTGGAGAGCTCTCTGACTTGTGTCAGGCTGGAATAGGAGGCAGACACAAATGTATAAAGTGCTGAGCCACTGAGATTTAGGGGCTGTTTGTTGTAGCAGCAAGTCCGCCCTGACCAACACAGAGACACAGAGTCACACAGAGGTGCTCACCTGACAAGCAGCTCCATGAAAAACGGCCACTGCCACGGGAGCACCTCCCCCTGAGACTTTCGGTTTGGGGTTCGTATGTGAAGGCAGTGCTGTCTTCTCCATCCTCACCCTCTTACCACATATGGCAAATGTCACATCGCACCGAGGAGCACTCCTGGAGCCCCCTAGCTGGCTGCTGGGGCTCAACTGCTAATCCTTTAAGATGCCACTCACCCTCAGGGCTTCCCAGAGTGACTCTGACACAGACCACGTGGCCCGTAGTTTAAGCCAGGCTTCCCATGTGCCGAGGCCAGCTTTTTTTAATTTTTATTTTATTTTATAGAGTGCCTTCTCTGACTAACACAGTCAAAAGAGGACACGCTGGTGCATGCACACACACACACACACACACACACACACACACACACACACACACTCATAGGTGTTTTTTAAGAAACACTAAAATACGCCGAAACCGGTTTGGCTCAATGGATAGAGCGTCGACTTGGGGACTGGAGGACCCGGGTTCGATTCCGGTCAAGGGCATGTACCTTGGCTGCGGGCATATCCCCAGTAGGGGGTGTGCAAGAGGCAGCTGGTCGATGACTCTCTCTCATCGATGTTTCTAACTCTCTATCTCTCTCCCTTCCTCTCTGTACAAAATCAAATAAAATATTTTTTTAAAAAAAAGAAACACTAAAATAGGCAAAACACTGAGGCTCTCTACCATTTTTGAGACTCCCATTTAGAGAACTGCTCCTGCCTCTTTTAGAAGAAGGCTTGTGGCCGCCCTCACCTCCATGACTGGTCACCTGCTCTCCGTCCTCCCCTCACCCCGGCCCCTCAGCCTTGGGGACAGAGAAAGGGCACCAGCCTCGACGCTGGGAAATGGGCTGCGTGCCCAGGAGCACAGCCAACCGGGGACCCCTGAGGCGGGTGGGTCTTTCTTGCCATCTGCTCTGCCTCTTAGTTACTGTGGCCTCCCCGTCCCCTGCCTCAAGAGTCAGGGGCTCACGCCTGTGCTTGCATCCACTTCTGCTTGAGAGCCTCCTGCCAGGAGCCCAGGTGTACCTGCCCGATGCCAGAGTGCTGCGTGGTGCGTGGTGAGCCCAGACCTCTGTATTCCCTTGTCTGCCGAGAAGTGCAAACAGTAAGGAATAACCCCAGCTGTGCAAGCACCTATGTGGACCTGCTCCTGGCATCTATGTGGACATCGAGGGAATGAGACATGGCGAGAAGTGGGTAGTTTGCTCTAGAGTAAGCCTCGGTTCAAAAGAGCCAGAGAGGGCGTAGGCTTTTCGACAGCTAAGAAAAATTCCTCAGGCTCTGGGAAGGGAAGGGAGAAGCCGGAGAGAAGGGAAATAGGAAAGTGGCCAAATGCGTGTGATAACAAGGATGTGGGAGCAGGAGGCAGAGTTGAAATGGTGACCAGGTGGTAACCTTGTTGGTTCTCCTCCCTGCGGCTGGGCCTGTGCAGGTTTCCTGCTGTTGGCCAGTGAAGGCGTCCCTCTATGTCTGTGGCCGATGAGACAGTGTGGCTGATTGAAGCAGCAGGACTCCACTCGCTCTGAAATTTTAGGCTAACAGGTGCCAAGAATCACTGCGGTTTCCCCTCTCCTCCCTTGCCTCCCTTCATTCCTTCCTTCTTTCCTTCTTTTTCTGTCCCCACAGTAAGTGACACGGAGTCCGCAGAGGTGAGAGAAGAACACTTTTACGATACCTCTTCCACCTTCATTTCCTCTCCAAAATGTGTCCAACTTTAGAATTCACAACTCTACTTGGCGGCAGGCAGAATTCCAATTCTCATTTTACAGAAAAGAAAACCAAGGCTTTGTGAGGTTAAGAAGCCTGCCCCAGGGCACAGAAGTGGTAAGATCCAGGATTCAGAGATTTTCATCCCCAAAGCCATGAGTTTGCAACTACATACCAACTCCTTCCCAAGTGAGCCCACTTCAAAGTTACATAAATCCAAAACACCAGTCAGAAAGAATATATGGCCCTAACAGGTTTTAGTGGACAGAGCGTTGGCCTGCAGACTGAAAGGTCCCAGGTTCGATTCCAGTCAAGGGCATGTACCTTGGTTGCGGGCACATCCCCAGTAGGGGGTGTGCAGGAGGCAGCTGATCAATGTTCCTCTCTCACTGATGTTTCTAACTCTCTATCCCTCTCCTTTCCTCTCTGTAAAAATCAATAAAATATATTTTTAAAAAAGAAAGGATATATGCACCCCTGTGTTCACAGCAGCACAATTTACAATAGCTAAGATCTGGAAACAGCCAAAGTGCCCATCAGTACACGAGTGGATAAAAAAGCTGTGGTACATTTATACCATGGAATACTATGCAGCAATATATGTATATAAAAAAATATCTTACCATTTGAGACAGCATGGAAGGACCTGGAGAGTATTATGCTGAGCAAAATAAGTCAGTCAGAGAAGGATAAGTATCATGTGTTCTCATTTATATGTGGAATCTAATGAACAAAATAATCTGATAAACAAAGTAGATCCAAAGACATAGAAGCATGGGCAGACTGACGAATCTCAGAGGGGAGGTGGGGGTGGAGGGGTGGGTGGGGGGAGATTAACCGGGGAATTTATATGCACACATGCATAGCCCAGGCACACAGACAATGGAGCGGTGAAGACCTGGGAGGAGCGGGTGTGGGGTAAAGGCAGTCAGTGGAACGGGGAAGGGGGACATCTGTAATACTTCCAAAAATAAAAATAAAATTTTTTTAAATATAAACCACACACACAAAAAAAATAATAAAGGAATTTTAGCCATCCAGTGTAGCTCAGTGGTTGAGCACTGACCTGTGAACCAGGCGGTCATAGTTTGATTCCATCAGGGCACATTCCCAGGTGACGGCCTCAATCCCCAGAAGGAGGCATGCAGGAGACTCTTTCTCTCTCTCCCTTTATCTCTAAAATCAGTAGTTTTTTTGTTTGTTTGTTTGTTTTTTGTTTTGTTTTTTGTTTTTACAAAAGTGAAGTCCAAGACTCTCAAACTTAATAAGAAATCTATGGGTGAGGTGCAGAAAGCTGCACTTTCAAAAGCCTGCCCAGTGATTCTGAGCTCACTGACTGGAGAGCCTCCCCCACCGAAGAGAGAGGTGATAACGGACCCAGCAGTCCTTCCCTCCGGGTTCGGCAGAGGAACCACTGACTCTGGGCCAGCTGCTCCACTGAGCTGGGGAAGCCACGAAGGCTTGGATGTTTGTGATGAATGCTGAGCTCACAGAGGAACCAAAATAGTGCTGTCCCTCATGCATTTATACAAAAAAACAAAACCAGCCGAGACCGGTTTGGCTCAGTGGATAGAGTGTCGGCTTGGGGACTGACGGGACCCGGGTTCGATTCCGGTCAAGGGCATGTGCCTTGGTTGCGGGCATATCCCCCGTAGGGGGTGTGCAAGAGGCAGCTGATGGGTGACTCTCTCTCATCGATGTTTCTAGCTTTCTATCTCTCTCCCTTCCTCTCTGTATAAAATCAATAAAATATATATTTAAAAAAAAAAACAGCTGCAAAGGTGTGGGGAGAGCTGGGGATCATAAATGCTTTTGAGAACATGAACCATTGGGTAATCATGATGATTTACCTTTTTTAATTAAGAAGACCTTCACTACACAAAAATAGCTTAGAGGCATGTACCCTTTGATCTTGCAATGCCACGTTTGGGAATTTATCCTTCAGAAATTCTTTTCGCTTGTACATATGCACAAGATAATTCAATGCAGAACTAATTATAATAGCAGCAAAAGACTGGAAGGAATCCAAATGCCACGATTGTGGAACTGATGAAATAAATCACATTCATTCAACGAAAAATAACAAGGAAACTGTGTATGTAATGATACGGCAATGTCTCCAAGATAGATCGTTAAGGGGGAAAGCAAGGTTCAGAACACATGTATAATCCGCTGTCTTTTGTGTATAAAAGGGGAGTAATAACAATCCCCATTCCTATTTGCTGGTCTATCATCAAAGAACACTGGAAGCAAATATAAGGACAGTGTGGTGACCTCTGGGGCAGGGAATGGAACTGAACAGACGGGGAGCAAGGACGAGAGGGAGGTTCTTCACTATATACACTGAGTGGCCAGATGATTATGATCTCTGAACGCATAATAATCTGACCACTCAGTGTACATATATATGTGTGTGTCTGTGTGTGTGTGATATATATATAATATATATAATATATATATATATAATATATATATATATATATATATATATATATATATATATATATATATATATTAGAGGCTGGTGCATGAATTTGTACATGGGTGGGGTCTAGCCAGCCTGGTCAGGGGGAGGGAACATTGGCGGTTTACCAGCCTACCTGTTGGTAGAACTCCTGATCCAGGGGACAATTTGCATATTAGCCTTTTATTATATAGGATATACCCTGAGTGGCCAGATTATTATGCGTTCAGAGATCATAATCATCTGGCCACTCAGTGTATATGATGATACTTTGGGGTTTGGAACCATGTGGGTGCATTATTTATTCAATGAGTAAATAATAAAATAAAAATTTAAACAACCATTTATTGTGGCCCCGGGAACAAGCAGTCTGGTCTGGTTCTCCACGCCCGCGGATCTCGGTGTCCGTGGGAAGCTTTTCTGACCGGGAGCGTATTTCAGAGCCACTGCCATTCCCGTGGCTACCCTGCTTGGCGGTGGTGGGCCAGACCAGAATGCAGATGCTCATTGTCCAAAACGGCCAGGGGAGGACAGGTCTCTGTATTTCTTACTGAGGAGAACCAGCTCCACAAGCGCCCTGGGAGTGCAGTCCACAGAGCACTGGGCAGCTCCAGGAGAGGAGGCCCCGGCTGCCCAGGACGGAGTGCCCAGCACCCTAGTACGGAGGCATCAGCTGGTCTCGGCTCACACGGGAGGAGTGGTGGTAGCGGTCCCGAGTGGCGAAGTCTGCGTTCTCTTGGGTGAGCTGAGTCATCTCCATGTCCACCCGCACCAGGGACGGTGCCAAAATGATCTGCTCTTGTGGGGATCGCAAGCTCCTTTGGGGAGAGAAACACACAGGCCCGTCAGAAGGAAAGACCCAGTGCTGAACAGGGAAGAGGAGTCTCTTCAGGGACAGAAAAAAGTATTTGAAAAAATAAACAAACATTATTGTACATATTATTGAACATGTATGTTAAAAAACACAGCTGTATCTGTGTTTGTTCATGAGGCAGAGAAGCATGAAACAGACTATCAAACTGCAGCGGGAAGGCTGGGGAGGGTTAGGGTAGAAGTAAGAGATCAACCCAAGGACTTGTATACATGCATATAAGCAAAACCAATGAATGCAAGACATTGCGGGGGCGAGGGGTTGTAGGGAAGCCAGAGGAAGATCAATGGGGTGAGGGGAAAGGAAACACATGTATTACTATTTGTAATACTTTAAACAATAAAATAAAACTTAAAAAAAAAAAAAACAACTGGTGCAAGTCACATGTACAAATGTTCATGAATAAAGTATGAGAAATGAGTATAAAGAGAGAAGTGACTTTTACCTTTCTTTAGCATACGTGTATAAAAGTGTACAAAATAACCATCCCAACAGTGTCATGTGGGGACGCGATAGCATTTCTTTGCTTTTTTGTCAGGTGAAATAATGGAATGGAGAGGCTGAAAGCCAGAGAAGAGCAGAAAGAGAAACCTCTTTGGTTCACGGGAAAGAAAGGTGAGTGAGGAATGATCTCCAGAGCTAAGGCTGAGGTAGCAAGCGGCTAGAGACAAACTACACAGGCTTTGACCCCACGTTGGCCTGAAGACAAGGGACAGTCCCGGTGTGGATTCCACTGTCACTGAAGTGCCTACACACAGTTGGAGCTGAAATAAGCTGGGACACACGAGGAAAGTGCCAGAGGCTAGGGAGTGAGGAGCGCTTCCATTAGAGGTCAGGATGTACAGAAGATGGACACAGTCATGGCTTTGCCCCCCATCGGCCCAGTGACCTCAGAAACCGTCCCACCTCCTCATGCCAAAGCCTTTGCCATACCCGAGACGTGATTGCCCCTCAGAAATTTAACCAAAAAGAATCATCTACTGGCCAAACCAGTTTGGCTCAGTGGATAGAGCATCAGCCTGCGGACTGAAAGGTCCCAGGTTCGATTCTGGTCAAGGGCATGTACCTTGGTTGCGGGCACATCCCCGATACGGGGTATGCAAGAGGCAACTGATGGATGATTCTCTCTCATCGATGTTTCTAACTCTCTATTCCTCTCTCTTTCTCTCTGCAAAAAATCAATAAGATATATATATTTTTAAAAAAAGAAAGAATCATCTACTGTACAAGTAGTAATGTCAATTGTTTGAATAGGGGATATACTTGACATTTGTAGTACTTATATGCATGTATACAAGTCCTTGGGTGTAAAGACATTTTTAAAGGTATAAATCTAATGGTTCCAACTTTAAAAGTTAAACAGAAAGCTTCAACTGACTTTGGCAAAAAGTGCTGTTACAGAAATTTAGATCACACGATGAAGGCCTTGTAGCCACTGAGAACATATATGAATCAGGTTGAGGTTCTCTGAGAAATGAATTAACTTCTATTAAGGTTGAAACTTCAAGAAATAAAGTTGAGAAGTGTCAAAATGCCAGACCAATGAACATAGAAGTGTTTTTGCCAATGCATTATTTTTCCTTAATGCTGGTTTGTTTGTTTGTTTGTTTGTTTGTTTTAAAAGGTGAAACATTGCATTCTTCTGAGTTCTGGTAAATAATATGCCTCATTTTCTAACCTAGAATAGTCTAAAAAATTCTTACCTGGGGAGTTACTAGGACTTTAGGAAAGAAAGCCATTTTAGGGTCAGACTAAATTTTACATAATTCTGGGAATCGTAGATGTCATAGAGGGAGCAATTTAATCAAACCCCTTTGCCCAAACACCTTCACTACACCATTCCTCTTCTCTGATTTCGAAGAGCATCTGGGTCTATAGTTGTAAACAAGCAGACAAACCAACAACCTTCAAAATTATAAAATTGAAAACACAGCTACCAATTTCTACTTAAAAAAAAAATCATCACATTTCTTGATCCTTTCACCTTCCTAAATAATCATCACAAAACACTGCTCAGGAGCCATGGGGAGGCCAGTAAGTGCAATGTTGAGACTCAGCTGACGCCTCCATCGCCCACTTCACAAGCCCCTGAACTATGTATAGTGTGGGCTGGGTTCTGTTCCAACCAAAGCATTGCCCTCTTCTAAGAATAATCTGCTCCCGATACATTCTCCTTTCTACATAGCACTCCAGTGACCTCAGAGGGGAAATTCTAGGAATTCAGAACGCAACATAAGGAGTATTGGCCTCCTATGGTCATGTGTAGGCTTTAACACTGCAAATGCCTAAAAATATCCCTGTAAATCAGACAGGGCCCAATACTCTTAACCACTCATCAGCTCCAGCTCCAGATCTGCAGGAAGCCTCTACACAGAAGCGATTTCCACTGAAACTCAACATTTCCTCAGGGCTAGGTGACAGGGGAAAGAGACCAGAGCAGGAGTGTGGTGATCTGAGTCACCCCCGCCTGGTCCCTCAGACAGGGAGAGAGGCAGAGAGGGAGCCCCACCCCTCCCATAGCTCAGAATGCTAGCCCAGCTTCCCAGCAGATGACAGGGATCTCCGCATACACCACCCTCCCGCCCCGGCTTTCCCCTGTCCGTTTCCATGGCCCCTGCTCCTCTGTCTTCATCATCCCGGGCTCTAGCAGCAAGGTTTAATTGCTTGTGCAATCCTGAACAAATTGGTAGTGCTTAGAAAGACTTGTCTTAAAAAGGATTCTTGGAAGGCAGGAAGGGGGCGGGGGTTACTGTTTACTAGACAGAGTGTCTCTGTTTTTGCAAGACAGAGAGTTCTGGAGATGCATGGTGGCGTGAGCGTACTTAACACCACTGAACTGTACACTTGAAAAGGGGAAAAGGCTACATTTCATGTTATCTGTACTACATTACAATTAACAATATGGCGGAGGGGGGGGTGGCTCTGCATGTACATCTGGGATCCAAGGGAAAGGGTTCCACAGTCCATTAGCAATGTCTGGGCATGGAAGGTAGAAATATTGGCAAGTGCAACCCAGGCATCTAGATTTTCAGAAACAAACCAACAAAATGAAACCAAATAAACACTTGATTGAGTTCTGCCCGGATTTTCCCAGCCTGCAGAGTTGGTTCCTCACTGATAGGGAAGGAGGAGGGGAAGTAATTTCCTCAAGTCCCAAAGCCCTCGAAGGTGAGGTAGCATTGTCTCCGGAAGGGGGAAGGGTGGTGGAGGAGGAAAGAAATTAGGGCACTCAGGAAATCTTATGTCCTCTAGGAGGCCTTCTCCTGTTTCTCAGGAGAGCTGATTCTTCCCTTTCCCTGTGTGTTTGATCATGGAGGTGCCCCAGAAATCCCCCAAGATCCCTCCTCTATATATTTCTGTACTTGGTTTCTGCACTTTCACCAACACAGTCAGATCAACGGCCTTTGGGCTTAATCTTGTGTGTGATGATGCACTGATGCTGGTGTGTCTCAGACTGTGAACTCAGTTAGAGTAGCTCTCTGGACTTAGCGTCCGCAATCAGGTTCTAAATAAGGCCCCTGTTCGTGATTCCTGAGGACAGAAAGCAGGAGGACATGAGCCAGAGGAAATTTCTGATGAGCTGAGGCTGGATGGGGGAGGGGAGTGAGGAGCAAAACCTGAGTCTCCTCCAGGGTCTCGCTTGTTGGGTTCCCGCACACAATTCACCGTCGCCCATTTAGGAGCGGGACCCAGGACACTCATCCACCAGATTAGCACTGACCTGCAGGAAGGGATCAGAAGAGATCTCATCCATCTGCAAAAGCTGAAGTTGGAGGCTGATCCTACAAGGAAGACATACACATGGACATTGATGAAGGCTCTAGATATGCATCTAGAATCTCAGTTTCAGTAGAATATATATATCTCTTGACACACATGCACAATTAGTATAATTTTTTTCCTTTTTTCAGTCTAAGCACACAATACTCATGATACTATTCCCTGACAGCAGCCTGCTAAGGACTACGTATCCATATGTAGTTTCCAAAAATTTGTTTCTAGATTCCAAATTCTCAAGAAAGAAACTGAATAAAGTGCTATAGAGAAAAAAGCAGACAACTTGCTAACTTCAGTCCTATAAATTTAAAAAAATTGATATTTTTTTCTTAGATTCAAACTATGTGTGAAATATGTGCTATAACATCCCCCCTAGGAGGGAAGGGAATCTGGGGGAGATAATAGATCAACTGAAGGACTTCTATACATGCATATAAGTACAACCAATGGACATAAAACTCTGAGGAGGGAGGATATGTATGGGAGGGCGGGAGGGGGGCAAAAAAAATAAAAATAAATAAAAAATCCCCCACTAGACCACCCACCCTCCGAAGATAGGAGCGTGTTTTCTTCATCGTGTAACCCTCCCCACCCCCGCAGGAGCTGGCACCCAGGAACCTTTCCACGGGTTTGAATCCAATTGTTCACCTTGTAGAAACGTGAGAGCTGAAGTTTGAAGTGAGATTGTTGTTGATACTGATTAAATATACTAACTTCAGACACACTAATTAGAACAGGGCTAATCAACTTTTTAAAAATATATGTTTATTGATTTCAGAGAGGAAGGGAGAGGAAGAGATAGAAACATCTATGATGAGGGAGAATCATTGATAATTGCCTCCTGCACGCCCCCTACTTGGTATCAACCTGCAATCCAGGCATGCACCTTGATCAGGAATGGATCTGTGACCTCCTGGGTCATAGGTAGACACTCAACCACTGAGCCATACCAGCTGGGCCTAATCAACTTAAAAACAAACAAAAAAAACAAACCTCATCCCTTCTTTGGTGTGGGTGTTCATTTTATAAATCTGATATAACAAATTACATATAACGTTAGGAAACCAAATCAAATGTCATTTTATACAATGCTCTTCTAAATTATATGTATTTGTACTAATATCTACTATTGCAAATAGAAAGTTTTTAACATATTCTGATGCTATCAGGAGGAAGCAAATAAGAAAAAAAAAAACATTTTATCAACTGACCTTTCTTATTTGTGGTCATTTGGGTTCTAAGTTATCTAAATTTTATTTGGAGACTGGCCTGAAATGTTATGTCATACCTTCCTGTGAATAGATTTCTGGGAATGATTTGAATTTCTTACAATCAAACTAACTCCTAAGAAATTTAGAGGCAATCACTGATGTAATTACTGTGTTCATTAAAACATATTCTGTCCCTTAAATTAGTTGGTACAAGGACCTCTTGTTTGCATGACTTTTCTAAAGCATTGTTATTGTTTCTGAAACACCCTCACAGACACACCCACAAATAACGTTTAATCAGGGAAAAAAGGGATGCTTCCCCTAGGAATGTGGCTTTTTTTTTTTTTAATATATTTTATTAATTTTACACAGAGAGGAATTGAGAGGGACAGAGAGTTAGAAAAGTTGATGAGAGAGAAACATTGACCAGCTGCCTCTTGCACATCCCCTCTACTGGGGATGTGCCCGCAACCAAGGTACATGCCCTTGCCCGGAATCAAACCCGGGACCCTTGAGTCCGCAGGCTGACGCTCTATCCACTGAGCCAAACCGGTTTCGGCTGAAGTGCATTTCTTTCAAAAATACATATCAAATTGTTCTAATTCTGAAGAATGTTTTCTTCCGTTTGCCTGCATTGCTGTGGTTCATTTAATTTAGGACTTAGAACTAATTGCTTTATTTTAAATCGGGGCATCATAGAATTTTGTTGAAAAGGGCTCTCAAATGTTTTTTTTGTTTGTTTGTTTGTTTTTTGTGTTTTTTTTTTTAAATAGCTGTATTGTTGAGAAATAACTGAAATCACCATAGAATATTGCTTATACTTTCTTACTATTATATTCTTGATGCTCTGACATTTGGGGCCTTGATCCTAGAGGACAGAAAGTAAAGAATTCCCCTGCAAACACCCCTTTGATATACAAATCAACCAAACCAGAGCCCACACCCCCAAATTCTCACACAACGAGCCAGTACGTCCTGCCCTAAATCATGCTAGGGCCACATACCAGACAACTAGAGACCACCCCTATATATACTCTCTTTGCCTGGTTTCTTTCACTCAGCATAATTATATGAATTTCATCCATGTTATTGTATGTTCCTTTTATTACTGAGTATTCCATTGTAGGAGTACATTGGCTAGTTCATATAGCAGGTATATGTTTAACTTTTAATAACCTGACAAACTGTTTTACAAAGTGATAGTACTATTTTATTTCCACCAGTAGTATACAATAGTTCTAGTTGCTCCACATCCTTGTCAACACTTGGCATAATCGGTATTTTTAATTTTAACTCCTCTACTAGGTGTGTAGTAGTATAATATTGTGGTTTTAATTTGTATTTCCTAATCACTAATCGTGTTGAGCATCTTTTCATATGCTTCTGACTTTCCATATAAGTATTTTATTGTTTTATTGATTTTTAGGGGGGGGGGGAAGAGAGAGAGAGAGAGAGAGAGAGAGAGAGAGAGAGAGAGAGAGAGAGAGACCAATAAGAGAAAGATACAGTGATATCGTCGGTTGTCTCTCGCAAATGCCCTGACTGGCAATTGAACCCACAACCTAGATATGTGCCCTGACTGGGAATCGAATCCATGACCTTCTAGTGCACAAGATGATGTTCCAACCACCTGAGCCACACAAGCCAGGGTTTATATAAATATTTTAGAATCTGCTTGCTAACTTCCACAAAAAAGGCAGCAGAGATTTTTATTGGGATTATGTCGCATCTATAGAGTAATTTGGGGAGAATTAATGTCTTAAAAATATGGAATCTTCCAATTCATGAACTTAGTATATGTCTTCATTTCTTAATTTCCTCTTTACATTTCTTAATTTCTTCTCAGAAATGGTTTTTTCTTCTTCTAGTCTGTAAATATTGTGAATTACATAGAATAATTCAGAATGTTAAATCAACCTTGAATTCCTGAGATAAACCTATTTGGTTACAATGTATTATCCTTTTTATATTTCTTATTCAACTTAGTAAAACTTTGTTACAAATATTTTTGTATCTACAGTCATGAGGGATATTGGTGTTCTCCAAAAAGTTTGCATGGAATTTATATTCTTTCTTCCTTAAGTGTTTGATAGGTTTCATTAGGGAACCCATCTGAGTTTTCTTTGTGGGAAGATGTTAATGACAAATTTAACTTCTTTACTAGATGGCTTAAGTAGCTTTATCTTTCTTCTAGAATAAACTTCAATAGTTTGTCTCTTTCAAGGAATTTTCCTAATCGATCTAAGTTGTGATATATATATATATATATAGTGGCATAAAGCTGTTTAAAAATTTTTCTTTATTTTTCTTTTAATATTATAGATTTTCTAGTAATGTCTTTTCCCTCACTCCTGATATTGGTCATTTTTTACCTTCTCTCCTTTTATCATAATCACTCTGGATAAAGTTTGTCAACTGTATTGATATCACATAACCAGTTTCTTCTTTTATTGGCATTCTCTACTTTTTTCTATTTTATATATTACTGATTTCTACTTTCACCTTCATTGCTTCTTTGTTTCTATTATTTGAATTTAATTTGCTCTTCTTTCTCTAGTTTTCTTAAGTTGGAAGTGGGGGTCATTGATTTAAGACCTCTCTTCTTTTCTATTATAATATGAACATTTGATGCTATAAACTTCCTTCTAAGTACCGAGTTAGCTGCATCCCACAATTTTGATGTTATATTTTCATTGTCACTCAGTTTGAAATATTTTGTGGTTTTACTTAGTATTTCTTCTTTGAACCCTGAGTTATTTTTATTTTTTTTAACTTGATTTAGCATTGTTTAGTGTTCTTAGTAATTTAGTGTTATTTAGTATTTTTTAGTTTCTAAATATTTGGGGATTTTCCAATACTAGATATCGTTCTGGTATTTATTTTTAATTTACTTCTCCTTTGGTCAGAGAACATACTTTGCTCTTGAATTTACTTGAATACCTTTAAATATATTGAGACTTTTTATGTCCTAAAAATATAGTAAATATTTCATTTATATTTAAAAAGAATATATATTACAAGACTTATTTGAGAGGTCTCATACACATGGTGTGGGCAAGTGGGTTTTTAATATCCAAGACCAGCCTAGCAGCAGGAATGCTCAGGCCCTTCTCAAGAAGGGAAATAATCAACTCCACCAATACACACATGGTAAATAAGATTGATGCTAGAGTGTTGAGAATGACAGATGAATGGTAGCCAATTTCTCAGAGGAAAGTAATGTGGCTAATGGAAATAAATGAATATTCTTAAAAAAACACACACCTGATTGTACTGTTCAAAAAGCTGTTCCTAAAGAGTTAACAAAAATTCTTATTGGCAGAGTGGCCACGGTAAAATTGCACAACATGTTATGAATCTAAAGTAGTCATAGTGTAGCGCAAATAACTTAAAATGTAAAAGCTATCAAGACTATAGTATAAAATTTTCAAAAGTTTCCTATTATTTAAAGTAAAAAAGGGGGTGACAGTGGAAGAATATCATGTAAGGAAATATATCCTGAGAATAATTTACAACTAAAAAATTTGTGCTTTAGAAAATTAACCTTCATTTGAAACCCTAATAGCAAGATACCCATGAAAATACACACATGGTGAAAAAACAAGCCAGGGAAAAATCATTTGGAGGGGATAAAATGGAAAAGAATCCCAAATAAAATTTAAAGAAAATATTCCTTTATTAACTTGGTCGAGAATATGTTTGTATATTTCCAGAAAACAACTCCGAGACCATCTGGAATTCTGTAACAGAGAGGAATAGACAGAAGCGCTCCAGCCATGAAGACAGAAAGGACACAATTCAGAGATGGAAGATGCTGATGACGCCTCAGCATACCAGCAGATAGCCAGCCGCGGGTTGCTGAAGGATGCCCAGGATCAAACCAGAGACAGGCAGACCTGCATTACCGCCATTTGTCCACCAACCAGATCTGAAATATCATGGCTGGCATGTACACATAAGGAACTGTTTGGCATTGAAATCGGGACGCAAAAGAACTGTTGTCCCAGAAAGGAACTCACTACAGACTGATTCATTTGCCTCTCAGCATAACCATTATGGGTTGTTGCAGTTTAGGTTCTTACAAGAGTATTTCTTGGATCACATGATCTCACACATCTAGAGGAAATAATGAACAACACAACAGACCCAAAGAAAGAGAACCAGCGATCAGACTCTCAAACCTCAGAGGGAATGTAAGGGAGGATGGGGGTAAGAGGGAAAGATTAACCAAAGGACTTGTGTGCATGCATATGGGCCTAGCCAGTGGCTATGGACTACAAGGAGTGGGGATGGGGCATATCTAGGGAGGGGTTTGGGACAGGAATGGGGGAATAAGGACAATTATGTGAGACCATAATCAATAAAAAAAATTAAAAAAAGGTCCCCACTATGTGTCTCAATGGTGATAAACAATAGGGGAAGCCATTAGTGGAATATTTGCAGTTGAAACCTTTATCTTAGAATTGGCTCTTCAATTTGACTTTTCATTCTCTTTATAGTGTCCTTTGCTACACAAAAGATTTTAATTTTGGATGAAGTCCAATTTATCTATTTTTTTCTTTTGTTGCCTGTGCTTTTGGTTTCATATCCATTAAATTGCTGCCAAATTCAGTGTCAAAAAAAATAAAAAATAAAAATAAAAAGAATATATATTCTTCTGTTAGGTGGAATGGTCTATAAACATTAGTTTATCTAGATTTGTGGATAATGTTATTCAAGCCTTCTAATGTCTTATCAATATTAAGCCTACTTGTTTTATTAATTATTGAGAGAGGTATTGAAACCTCTTATTTTAATTATGAATTTTTCTATTTCTTGTTATAGTTATACCAGGTTTTACTTCATATATTTTTAAAGCTCTATTTTTTAGTGCATACAAGATTTTTTTATGTCCTCTTCATGAATTTTTTACTTTATCTTCATGAAATAATCCTTTATTCCTGGTAATATTCTTTTCTCTAAAATCTATTTTGCCTAATACTAATATAGTCACTCCAGCTTTGTTTTGATTCACATTATCTTATCTTTTCCCTTCTTTTTATTTTTAACTTATTTTGTGTCTTTATATTTAAAGTAGGTTTCTTGTAGGTATCATATAGTTCAGTGTTTCCCAAAGTGTGGTATGCGTACCCTTAGGAGTACGGGAAGAGTTTGGTGGGGGTATGCATTGCACCAGAGTTTGGTGGGGATATGCACTGCACCGTGCTTAGCTGCACCTAATTCTACGTTCTCATGAGTACGAAAATGCACCTAATTCTACGTTCTCATGGTACTCAGCATCACGAAAATTATAGAAGGGGTACACATATGTCAAAAGTTTGGGAAACACTGAGTCATGCATTTTTATTCAATCTGAAAACCTCAGTGTTTAGATCACTTTATTGAGTGTGTTTAGACCGTTTATTTTTAGTGTGATTATTGATATGACTAGGTTTATATAAACTGCCTTGTTATTTGCTTTTTGTTTGTCCCATATGCCCTTTATTATATTTTCTACTTTTTCTGCTTTATTTGGATTTGAGCATTTTAAAATTCAACTTTATCTCCTTTATTGGTTTACTAGCTATACCTCTTTGTTATTCTTTAATGGTTGCTTTAGAGTTTGTAGCACACATTTTTAACTTATCACAGTTCACCTCTAAGTGATATTATAATACTTCACCTATAGCATCAGAAAGTTCAAACAATATATTTCCATTTCTTCCCTCCTGGCTCTTGTGCTATTGTTTTTACTTCTACGTGTCTTATAAATCTGACAAGTAATTTTTTTGTTTATCATTTATGTGCATGTCATATTCTCCCCCTCCCCCAGACTATAAGCTACTTAAAAACGAGATTCATATCTGATAACGGGCATTTAATTGGTGCTCAGAACACATTTCTTCAATGGACGCTAAAAGAGAAAGAGGAAGGTGGTGGCAAATGGCTCTGCTGCTTACCGAGGTGAAGCCCGGGACTGGCCCGACCAATGTAGAAATACACAATGGCAGCAACACACATGTTGATCAAAGTGTAGACCCACTGGATCACAAACATGATGACAAGAGACCCAATGGCCTGTGGAAACAGTAGGAAAGGCAAGTCACCTAATGTTTTATCACATTGTAGGCAAACCACCAGGCTAGTCCCCCTCATCAGCCTTTGATCACTATAAAAGTCTGCTTAATTGAAGTTCACTCATAATTAAAAAAAAAAAAAAAACTCACTTAAGCAGATATTTGAGAAGATACCCTTTGAAATTACCCTCTAATCAAAACTATCAATAAATATTGTTTCCTAGTTCCTTGTCCTATTCCTCCCTAGAAGAAACAAAGTGAAATTATGCTAATTTGGTATACCTAGAAATTTAGTGACCCAGAGGTTATCAGGGATGATTAATTATTTTACAAGTAACCCACTGATTAAAATAAATGCTGCACTAAATGCAATCTTGCCATTTGTAGACTTGCCTAAATTCTAATATAACAGGTAGTTAAATGACATTGCTTCTGATTAAGACTCTCCTCTTTCCTTCCCACAGCCCCAACCCTGAGATCACACACGCCTCCAATTGTCCTTGAATTGTCACAAGGACAATTGAGATAAAAAGGAAACTACTCACCCCCAAAAGGGAGACCCAGGGGTTGCACATGCGAGCGTAGATAGAAGTAGTTCCGCTCTGGATATCTTGTTCCTGAAGTCTAGACTTCAGGAAGAAATCTAAAAAATAAATGCGCCAAATCCTTATTACCCATCTGTTACCAAATCCTCTTACATTTTTATGAACAAATACTTATAAGTTCATCTTCTCAACCTAAAAGACAACTTCTACTCACCTCAGCCATTAACTTTCCCGGGGTCTTAGTCAACTCATTCTCCTACTCTCTGATGTTACACGCTTACCATCTCTCCTCTCAAAGAAGAGCTTTCATGTCCTCTCATCACCAAATATTCCAACCTATGTGCATCTGAACCTTCTCTTCTGCCTTCCCTCCTTGTCCAGTGGATGAACAGCCCCAGCTCCTGTGGAAGGCCCCTCCTCTGCTTGTGCTCTGCTTGAGAATTCTGCTTTTGCATACTTGATTTTCCCATCCTATACTGAACCATTTTCCATTAAATATAAATACCCCATACTGCAATTTCTCCCACTTAGGCAAATACCTTCTGGTCAACCCCTAGTTACTGCCTTATTCCTTTGTCTTCCTTACAGCAAAACTCCTCAAAAGAATTGCCTATATATTATTTACCTCCCATTATTTCCTCAACCCACTCATAAGATTCCACTAAAACTATAATACTCTTCCTAAGCTGCCAATGACTTGATCTTTTCAAATTCAATGGTCACTCCCAGTCCTCACACTAGGAGGCCTTTCAGACAGCATTTGACACACGCGATCACTTCCAGCTTATTGATCACTTCCTTGCTGTCTAGGATGCTTCATTCTCCCAGCTTTCCTCCTGTCTCAGGAACCACTTCTTCTTGGTCTTCTTTACTGGCTCACCTTCCAAACCCCAAATATTGTAATATCTCAACATTCATTCAGTCCTCAGCACCCTTCCCCCCCCCCCCCCCCCTATATACTCACTTCTAGAATATTCCATCTAGTCCTGTGGCTTTAAATACTATCACTATATTGATGGTTTAAATTTATATCACCCTTGACCCCTGAACTAAAATTTTGAATATCTAGTTTTCTTCTCAATAGCTCCTCTTACATGGCTAACAAGCACCTCAAACCTTAGCACAGCTAAAGCAAAAATCTATTCTTCCCAAGTCTTCTTCATCTGAATAAATGACACCACCATTCACTCAAATACCTATGATTCATCCTGGACTCCTTTCTTCCTCACACCTACACCTAGTCCATCAGTAAATCCTCTAGACTCTACCATCAAATATAGTCAGAATTTGACTACTCCTCACTATACAATTCATTGCTCCATTAAAATGCCCTCTTCTCAGAGAGATCTTTCCTGGCAAACATATCTGAAACAGTATGCCCTCTCCCCACCTAGTCTCTCTCTATTCCATCACCCTACTTTATTATTCATCATAGTACCTGGCATTACAGTGTATATGTGTGTGTTTGTTATGTACTATCCCCTACTAGAATGCAAGCTCAATGATAGCAGAGACCCATGTCTATTCAGCATGTTCTCCAGCCCCTTGAACAATGCTGAGAATGTAATAAATGTTCCATTCATGTGGTTAAATGAATGAACAAACCATCCTAGCCCCCAGAGAAATCTTTATTCTCTCTACACCTGTCTTTCTTCATCATGTGCTGCCAATTATTATATTTATCTTTTATACCTGAGGGCAAAGATTGTCTCTTATATCTCTAAATGGCAAATCTAGACATTTAGAAGATCATGTATAGGAAGAACTCAAAAAATGTCTCCTTATTAATTGTGGATTGAAATAAACTCTGCCAAGCATTATGATTGATTTGAATTGATGGCTCTGCTACTTAAAAAAAAAAAAAAAAGAATACTGTTATACTTCCATTAATTAAATTGTGTAATTTTAACATGTCCAATTCATGATTCATTTTTTTCAGCCATTGACTTAGTGAAATACAGTTGCCCTCTTGTTCCTCTAAGAAGGAACACTATTGGTTAAGGACTTAGATTTTTGCCTCTCTGAGACTTGCCAAGTGTTAAGCTCACCTTTTCATACTTGATCTTGATCTTGCATAATATCAATTACACTGGACCTAGGGGAAGTGTGTGTGGGTGTGAGTGTGGGTGTGGGTGTGGGCGTGCACGGGAGAAAGTAGTTAGGAAGGGATGTGTCCTGCAGGCAAGCACAATGCAGTTTTATCCGTCAGCAATGTGAGGGAGAATTCGTGCAAGGATGCTCAATGACTTGGAATAGTCCTCACAGCACAAGCAAACAACATTGTTCAAAATCCTTCCAAATGACTAAAGGAATTTTTTTCTCTTGTCAAGGATTTTGCTGGAAGAAACAAGCCTTGTGGATTATTGGTGGAAGGGGACATTTTTCATATTAGAAATTCTAGAGTAATGACCAGGAAAGCAACTTAAGTTTTCAAGTTTTAGTTGCAAAACAAATAGGTAAACAGAACCATGCATCAGGCATGTTAAAGATATCAAATATAAAAAATATAGTAAAAGTAATATTAAAGTGTCTTTTAAAATATAATGATATGTCTAACAAATTCAATGTTCACAAAATCCATGCAAATGTAAACACACTATACATGAAAGGTGAAAACAATTATGTTAATTTTAAAAATCATGAATTTATTTTTTAGACATTAGGAAACTAAATATTAAACTATATAAATGCACCTCATGTCTTTATCAGAATACATAAACACAGTTTTAGTTAGCAAGCACAAACCGAGAATATGCATGGATAAAATCCTCAAATGATCCTGTTTCAAGTCCAGGTGGTCTTTTATCATGATAATAAAATTCTTTCACCTGCTTTCCAAATGCTGTACATTTCAGTTATTTCTAACTTGATTATACAATTCCCCCAAATAGATTTACTAAGCCAGGGAAATTAAACAGATTTATATTCCTTGTTACATCTTTTAAAAAAATTTTTAAATTGATTTTTTAGAGAGAAAGGGAAAGAAACATTGATTAGCTGCCTTCCACACACGCCCCAACTGGGGATCAAATCCCACAACCTGGGCATGTAACCTGACCAGGAATTGAACCTGCCACCCTTTAATATATGGGATAACCCTCCAACCAACCAAGCCACACTGGCTAGGGCTCTTCTTACATCTTGAAATATCATTATCCAGAAAGAACGAACCAGAGGGAACTTTCAGCTATGAAAAGGTTGGTTAATCCTTTCCATAAGAAGTAAGTGTTCAACTAGAGAAAATAAACAAAAACAATCATTCAGGGCTCCAGAAATTTACGAAATGGAGACAACAAATTAAGAAGTGTTTATTTTCAAAACTGTTGGAGCTAAGGGTAAGAACCTTGAGAGTCTATGACCTTCTTGCCTGGGTAAGAACCTTGCTTGTCTATGACCTTCATCCTAGTTCTTAGCAGCATGGATCTGGTCAGAAAAAAGGCAAACTTGTAGGGTAGCCTTTAGAAGGTAAATGTGGTGAGCACAGTAGGAAACTGAATGGGGAAACCTCAGCTTTGCTAGCCTAAGGGTGCAGACCCACCTGGGAGAACACTGGACCAGCAGAAGTCTACGGGGGAGGTCCTAGAACTAGAGAGCCATAGAGGAACTAGCGCTCCCCACATTCCCCTGGCTGACTACTAACCCATCCCCCCACTGCCTGGGAAGACCCAGGAGAGACTGGCAAAAAGTAAAAGCCAGGGGGGACAGGAGAACTGGCTGCAACTTTGACTGCTTTTCCCAACCCACAGACAGACCCATTGGCAGAGGGTGGCAGCTTTATGGGGCCATGTAAACACGGCAGCAACCCCCAAGGAACCCAGGCTAAAAATTAGACATAAGAATACAAAATAAACTGAGTAAAGCCATCAGCAGCCACACACCACAGGGGAAACCGATCCCACAGTTCAAATCCAGACAATTTGCTAAAACAAACCAACAAAAGCTCAGAAATGTGCATCAGAATCGGGAGTTGCAACAATACAGTATATCATCTAAATTGTCCAGTTTTCAATAAAAAATTACAAGACATGCAAAGTAATAGAAAACTATCGCCCAGGCTCAGGCATAAATGCATAAAAAGAAACCGACTCTGAGTTTAACAGACAAAGACTCTAAAACATCTAGTATAATATACTAGTGTATGCTCAAAGAATCAAATAGCCGAAACCGTTTTTGGCTCAGTGGATAGAGCATGAGCCTGCGGACTGAAAGGTCCCAGGTTCAATTCTGGTCAAGGGCATGTACGTTGGTTGCGGGCACATCCCCAATAGGGGGTGTGCATGAGGCAGCTGGTTGATGTTTCTCCCTCATCGATGTTTCTAACTCTCTGTCCCTCTCCCTTCCTCTCTGTGAAAAATCAATAATATATATATATATATATATATATATATATATATATGAATTAAATAAAAACACAATGTCAGTGACTTAAGGAAAAATTATGGCAATGGCTTTCAAAATAAAGACTATCAATAGAGACATATCAACTATAAGAAAGAACCAGATGAAAATTATATTGCTAAAAAGCACAATATCAGAAATGAAAAATTTACTAGATAGCTTCAACAGCAAATTCAATATGGCAGAAGACAGATTCAGTGAAACATAAAGATAAATCCGTGATTTTCAACACTTTTCATCTCATGGCACATATAATTACCAAAATTCTGCAGCAAAGTAAAAACTATATTCCATATTTTGAAGATTTGACAAAAAATACATATAATTTTGATTCATTCACACCAAACAGCTATTGTTGTGTTGGCTGTTGTCATTTTTTATTTGACAATCTAAGGGGAAAAAGATCAGTGCTCGCCCTAGCTGGTCTGGCTCAATGGATAGAGCATCAACCTGTGGACTGAAGGGTCCCAGGTTTGATTCCAGCCAAGGGCACATGCCTGGGTTACGGGCTCGATTCCTAGTAGGAGGCATGCAGGAGGCAGCCAGTCAATGATTCTCTCTCATCATGGATGTTTCTCTCTCTCCCGCTCCCTTCCTCTCTAAAATCAATAAAATATTAAACAAACAAACAAAAAAAATCAGTGCCCCTGACCGAATAGTCAGGTGTTGCATGTTCTAAATTTTTTTTTTTTGGGGGGGG